GTCTGCGATGGCGCCTAACTAACTAACTAACTAACTAACTAACTAACTAACTAACTAACTAACGTGAATCTCAAACCCGTCGACGACCAAGCTCACAGAGCTGGAAAAAGAACTACAGCAACTATACCATAGCACTTGTCCAAAGGCATCAGAGGTTCGGGGCGACATTTGTCCGTCCACAATGGCAAGATGCCCGACCCGAGCTGCTCCGCCAGCCGCCCGTCAGGCTTCAGGCGAGCCACTCGGTGGGCTTGATCTATGTCTATCCTGAAGGTCCTGAGCTGAGCCCAACAGCCAAAGGCTACAAGCCAGAGCAAGTCCATCAGCGCTCACCCAGGTGCAGAGCGCAACCGTGGGATGAATGAAAGTGAGGCAGACAGGACCTACCTCTAGACGTTGAGGTGTTGAATGCTGGTTGTTTAGCTGGACAGTTTGAGTTCGTAGGGCACTATGCTAGATTGGCTTTTCTGGCGGCAACCGGCGCAGACAGCAGGGAGTCCTGCCTTCCCTATTTCTTTCGAGCTGACCTCTATCAAAACAACAAAAGAATGCGATATCAGCATCTAAAATGAAGTCCATCAGATTCGTTTGTTTACAAAATGATTGACGTCTTCTATGGTCGTCAACCTCTCCCGTCTTTTTCGCGCACCACCGGGTCCTCGGACCCCGGAGGCTCAGTGCGCTGGAGGTGCGCGACACCTTCCACCGACGGATGGGCTGGACGGATCGAGAGACGGTGGCCTTGATCGGCGGCGGGCCGCTGGGACGGAGGTGGCGTCGACGACGGGGAGTCGTCGTCACAAGAAGCTCCGAACGTAGAGCCTGGCCGTATACTACTTGCTAGAAGCAAGAAGCTAGTAACAAGGGCCTCGCTACTAGTAACATGTGGGGCTTTCTTTCCAGGTGTCTCTTGTGTCACTGGAATTTGACTATGCATGACTATACGATCTACAACATCTATCAATCAGACTGGATCCCAAATTTCTTTCACCACCCTCAAAGGAATCACGCACGCACATACACACTCTGACATTGGTTTGCTGTTAACTCAATTCCCACGTTGAGAAGGAAGGTGAGGGAACCGCAGGGTGAAAAGGTCCGCGCACTTGTATTGTTTGAACAATCTGTTGACATGTCTGCGGTGGCGAGC